AGAATTCATGTTGTCATGGCTTCGTGGCAACACAATGCTGCAAAAACATGATTCCAAAACACGGATCCTCATGGATCCTCAAGGTTTTTGTGTTGGGTCACCCCAACATCACCATTAAATTACATACCTTGTCCATGGCCACAGAATGCACCAAAGAAATCACATGTCCACGGCTTCATGGTGACACCATGAAGCCAAAATATGGTTCTGGAGCATGGATCCTCAGGAATGCTTTAGGATTTTGTGTTGGGACACCCCAAAGATATCATTAAATCCCATACCACGGCCATGGCCACTACTTACACCACAGTATTAATGGGTCCTGGGCTTCGTGGCAACACCATGTGCAAAAACATGGTTCTGAAGCATGGATCCTCATGGATCCTCAGTGTTTCTGTGTTGGGTCACCATGTTCTCACCATCACATCACATATCATGTCCATGGGCACAGCTTGCACCACAAAAGTCATGGATCCATGACTTCGTGGCAACATCGTGAAGCCAAAACATGGTTCTGGAGCATGGGTCCTCATGGATTCTTGGGGGTTTTGTTTTGTGTTGGAACACCTAAACATACCATTAAATCCCATATCATGTCCATGGCCACTACTTGCTCCACAGAATTCATGGATCCACGGCTTCGTGGCAACATGCTGCAAAAATATTGTTCCAAAGCACGATTCTCATGGAACCTCAAGGCTTTTGCGTTGGGTCACCATGAACACACCAACAAATCCCATCTGATGTCCATGGGGACAGGTTGCACCACAAAAGTAATGGATCCACTGCTTTCTAGCAACACCATGAAGCCAAAACATGGTTCTGAAGCACGGATCCTCATGGATTCTCAAGGTTTTTGCAATTGGACACCCCAAACACACCATCAAATCACATATCAAGTCCACGGGAACAGCTTGAACCACAGAAATCATGGATCCACAGCTTCATGGCAACACCATGAAGCAAAAATGTGTTTTGGAAGCACGGATCCTCATGGATCCTCAAGGTTTTTGCAATGGGGCTCCCCAAACACACAATCTAATCACATTGCCGCTTGGCCATCACACCCGAGACGTCATACTGGCTCCCCCAGATCTTGTTAGGGGCTCTTTAAAAAGTTATGGCTTCCCACGGTGACAGCAGCGCTAATGGCAGTGGCAATGGGGGGAGGGGCGCGAAATATTCCCCCACCTCTCTGAGCCTCGGGGTGGTGGCCTTGGAGTCCTAGGGACAAATTCCACCTCTCGCGATCACACGCGAGAGGTCATTCTGGCTCCCCCAGGTCTTGTTAGGGGCTGTTTGAAAAGTTATGGCTGCCCGCAGCGGCAGCAGCGCTAATGGCAGCGGCAACCGAGGGGGGAGGGCGCAAAATGTTCCCCCACCTCTCTGAGCCCCGGGGTGGTGGCCTTGGAGTCCTAGGGGCAGAGTCCACCTCTTGTGTGTGATGGCCGAGTGGCAACACCGCTCGGCCATCACAAGCGAGAGGTCATTCTGGCTCCCCCAGGTCTTGTTAGGGGCTGTTTAAAAAGTTATGGCTGCCCACGGTGGCAGCAGCACTAATGGCAACGGCGGCGGGGGGGGGGGCGCGCGAAATGTTCCCCCGCCTTGGGTGGTTGTGCAAATTCCACCCCTCACATGTGATCACACGCGAGAGGTCATTCTGGCCCCCCCAGGTCTTGTTAAGGACTCTTTAAAAAGTTATGGCTGCCCGCGGCGGCGGCAGCACTAATGGTAGCGGCGACGGCGGGCGGGCAGGTGGGGGAGGGGCGTGAAATGTTCCCCCGCCTCTCTGAGCCCCAGGGTGATGGCCTTGGAGTCCTAGGGGCAAATTCCACCTCTCGCGCGTGTGATGGTCTGCAGTATGATGGTGGTTTTATTTTGTTTCAGCGTACAACTCATATGAGTTCATGAGGATCTGTGCTTCGGAATCCTGTGTTTGTGCTGTTGTGGTGCTACGAATCTGTGGATGCGTGATTTTTGTGGTGCCCCCATAGACTAACACATGGCCTACAATATGATGGTACTTTTATTTCGTTTCAATGTAAAAATCATATGAATTTATGAGGATCCATGTAGATCCTTTTTCCGTTGTGGTGCCACGAATCTGTGGGAGCGTGATTTTTGTGATGCCCCCTATAGACTAACACATGGCCTACAATATGATGGTGGTTTTATTTCCTTTCAATGTAGAAATCATATGAATTCATGAGGATCCATGTAGATCCGACTTTTACCCTTTTCCCAAAAGTCGAAAGACACTACCCCAACCAGCAACATAAAGGTTTCGGATAGTAAAAAAAACCCTGCTGTGCGACAGGGACTTTAGACGATTTGTTTATAAACTATCTCTATATTGTCTGACTCGAAATCTTATGATAGAACAAATTATTTTGGTCTTGAAGATCCTATTTAATGGGACTCCCGTTTTAATTTCCCAACCCGGGGTTGGGAACACTCGAGACTAGAGGTCCGTGTGGAGTTCAGAAGAAGGCAGCCCTCATCAGCAGACTAGGAGAGGGCAAGGCGGCTTGTTGGAGCGAACAACAGATACGGAGAACTGGACGCAAAACATGCCCTTCCCTCCAGCGCGTGTCCCCTGAGACCTTTTCCCGAGCTGCTAGAAACGAACGATTTATTTACTAAGACGACAAAAAGGCCCAGCGCATGCGCAATTTTGAAACCAGCCCAGGAAACGCGGCGCGGGGGGGGGGGGGGGGCGGAGATCAAACCAACTGCGCTTGCGGTAAACCCCTTTTCGTCTTTCGTGCCGCTCTCTCTCTGACGATCTCTGTCTTTAGCGCAAAGCTCCACCCCGTGACGTCTGGACTAAATCTTTGCGTGCGCCTGCGCAATGTATTTGCGCGGGTTGATTCAAATGTGAAGGACCACAGAGAAAGGCGTTCATGGTCGCTGTCGGGGTTGTGTTTGTCGGTGTTCTCGGAGGAGCGAGTAGTAGTCGGGAGGAGGTAACTGATACTCTTTCTGTGAAGGCAGGTAAAGTAAAAATGGAAAATATAAGGAAGGCGCCGCTGTGTATTTACTGTAAGATGCCGCGGGTGAGGGGCTGTACAGGAAACTGGTCGCTGATTGGTCAAGAACTGCCGGATTTAGCCAATAAAGGAAGCCAGTCTAAAACCTTGCTGAAGTCGGTTGGTACTTAAACCCCAACCCCCCCCCCCCGTTTTGTGGTCACCTAAAAGTTTGTTATGGTTTCCGCTTTTGTGAACTGGAGCCTTTTTCGTCAGCTATATAATGGCCCCGGTCACACCGGCTGGATATCGAGGAGGGAGGCGTGGCTAATTACCCCGGCGCAGTTTGATCGGCGATTACGCGATCAGACGCTCCGGCGGCACACCAGGGGTCCTTCCCTGGGTGGCGAAGGGCAGGAGGGGAATGCCGCCTGCTGCGTGATCACACCACCCGCTCTGGAGGCAGCCCATAGCAAACGTTTACTAGTACCTTGGAGGTACTAGTTTTTTTAAGGCACATTGTCGGTGCGCTCCACTTCCCAGATGTTGGGGTGTGATCGCGCCCGGATAATCCGCCCACCATTCGTGCCGCTCCCGTGGCAACTTTGCCATGTGACCGGGGCCTAAGTCTGCTTTTGTTTTTTCTGTTGAATGTGTCCACAAAATATGTCAAACTTTCCCCAATATTTAATGGGAATTCAAAATATCCATAGTGTGTGTGTGTTGGGAGGGGGGAGATGTGTGAAGTGTTACTCTCAGTTGGCAGAGGCTAATGTATTGCTAGACCAAGGGTTTTTTTTAATTGTTTATGGGGTGTGACTGGCCTAAAGTTGCCCATTGGATATCATGGTTATGTGGGATTTGAATCTGGGCTTCCCTCGTCCTAGTTTGACACTAACTGCTGAAGCATGCTGGCTCTGCTGTAGAGACATAGATGTGAAGAAAGAGAAATCTAAACCATGGGGCTAAGAGATTATGAAACAGAAGCAGTACAGCCTATGACATTTCTGTGTGAAGTGCAAATGTATATAGGGTTAAGACGAAACTGACCTATTTAGACTCTTGTATGAAAGTGTCATGGACTGTACTACTTGTATTTAAAGACATTTTAGCCCTGTGGTTTACAATTTTACCCCCTCTTCATATATACCTGCTAACTGAGCTCTGATTAATCAGACCAATGGCCCATCCAGTCCAGCATTCCACAGTGGCCCCACAGCTGGTCTGGAAGGCTCACAGCATGAGCATAGGGGCTAAGGCTTCCAGCCACTGACATTCAGAGATACACTGCTTCTGAGTATGGGGGTGCCTTTCAATCACTGGTATCCATTAATGAACCAATTCTCAGTGTATTTGGTCAGACCAAGGTAGTGGTCATCCCCACATCCTATAGCAGCAAGACTCACAAGTTAATTATATATTGTATAAAGTAGTTTTTTGTCTGTCTTGATAGATATTACACATCTGATGTGGACGGCTGTAGTCCATTGAAGGTTATGTTACAATAAAATGCCTTTAAAGAGCCCTGTAGTCTCTTTTAAAATTGTTGAGCAGAGGTGTCTTGTGGCAGTGGTGTGCAGAATACAGTGGAAGGAACCTGGCCAAGAATGGGTGCTAAGTTATTTACTTAGTTCAAATAAATAATTTGAACCATTAGTCCAAATTTTCCAAGTGCTTGGAATCACCTGCTGGCAAGCAAGCAGAAGCTATGTAACTTTAATCTGATGGAGCATGTTACTGGGGATGTGTGGTTTCCTGCTGTAGTTATGCCAGGGAACTGCTAGTAGTCCAAATTCTACCCACCCCTGTTTTTATTCTTTTCTGTTTTTCCCTTTTGCTTTGGTGTGCTTGAGAGGAAGTCTATTGCTGGAGTGCTGAGAAGATGATAAAGTACATGTGGAGATTAACTGACAAGAAGTAGTAAGAGAGATTTCTGGGTGATGATGTAGAAGAGGGACTACTTGCCTAATAGCTGGATCATAGTTCTCATTAGCTGTTGTTTTGTCTTTCCCATATAGCAACAATGAGTTCTTCAAACCCACAGTCTGCTGGTTGTGAAAGAAGCTCCTCTACTGACAACGTGTTTGTGTCCCCCAGTACCAGGAGGCAACCTCTTAGCTTCTCTGGCACTCCTGTCCTGGAGAATTGTCCTGGGAATGATGATGAGCGTGAGAGGAAGCAGCGGCGGCGCTCCAGGGTTGTCGACCTGCAATTTAGCACTGAATCACCTTTGTCTGTACAATCTCCCTCCAACAAGTAAGAAGGCTTGACCACCAACTGCTTCTGTGCACATTTGTGTAATACAGAAACGTACTTGGATATGCTTTAAGGCTTGTAAGGGCTTCATACAGAGCACAGTCAATTTCATATGCTTTCTCCTGTATTTTAAGGAAAATGTGTCAAATTTAGCTTTCTAAACCTTTTTTCCTTTAAGGCAAGTGGAAACATCATTGCCAGCAATTCCCCTACTGACAGATACCCAGATAGCTGATCATTATTCGACATGTATCAAACTTTCAACAGAAAATGTAAGAAGCCTTTGAGTTTTTAAGAATCAGCTTCAGTGAATCCATGTCTACTCCAGTCTATAAAATTTGACTTTCTTGGCACAGAATTCAATGTACCTTTTTCAAAATGTGGAGAGTAACTTTACTGAAGTACAAATTTATGCGTAACTGTAAAATTGCTGTGTTCTCTTCCAGAAAATCACCACCAAAAATGCATTTGGTTTGCACCTGATTGATTATATGACAGAAATACTCAGACAGAAGGACTGTGAACTCACCAACTTTAAGGTTAGAGTCTTCTAATAGATTCTTGTGAATATGAATGAAAAACATTGAGTCACCAGCAGCAAGTCTTATCTGATTAGATGTGCCTATCCTACCTTCTGGTAGTTTGAGGGGGTTCTCTAGTATTTCCTTATACTCCCCTTCTTAGAAAAGCTTACATATGTATGCTACTATATAATTATTCCTTATTTGGTATGGGATGAACTACAAATCTAAGTAAGTTCCCTTTTCAGTATTCTCTTCAGGCCCTTTTAGGAAATGAAACTCTGCCACCTTGCAGTGCAGTTGCCCCTGCCCCACAAGGATTTTGTTAAACTGGCTTTGCCAGGTTTTCAGATTGTTGTCTGTATACAGGAAGCTATAGTAAAGGGAAAATTGCTTGTCCTGTTGGTGATCGGACTGGGAAGAAACCATTGTGCAGCTGCTTCTAAGGCATGGAAGCAGGATCTGATATTCTGAATAGGAGTTCCAATGAAAGTGTATTTTTGTCTTTCTGGACCCTTTTCAGATTATTTGGCCTTCAGTATCAGAGTGTGGGAGAACGAATGGAGAAGGGATGTCAGGGAGGAGAAACAGGTCATCCCCCACCTTGTGTACCAGTGCTTATAGTGATGAGAGAATGTGTGGAGCCAGAGCAAGAGGTGTGAAGGCCAGCATTGTGTGTTATGTTAGTGCAGTCCAAGCCTCCTGTCTTGTTCCAGTCTCTTTTTGATGTTTGTCACTGTACTTGCTGTCTGTCCTGTGATTTCTTGGGTATACTAAAGAGCAGAAAGGTGCAGGATGCAAATTATCTAATTGAAATATATGTGTCTGTCTGTGCTCCTGTTTGCTGCCAGCATGCAGTTACAATAGGCCTCCCTTGATGTTCTGATTCTCTGTTAATTGTCAGGTCAGTGTGTGGCCTGTTATGAGCTCCCTTTGTAGCTTTTGGGTTCTTCAAACTGGAGGAGCTCCATCCCAATCTTGTTAAATTTCCTCTTACAGATAGCAGCTGGTACCTTAGATGCCAGTACAAAGATCTATGCTGTGAGAGTTGATGCTGTCCATGCAGATGTCTACAGGGTTCTTGGAGGACTAGGCAAAGACTCTGCACCAGCAGAACCTGTGGATAACCAGGATACAAGTGAGTGTCTGAGCATATGATTAGGAATGGGAGTGGTATGTATTGGGCCTGCTCATATTTCAGTGATACAGGACACACTTTTGGTGCACAGGTGCACCTGAGCGAAATAGTTGGATTTAGATTTGTTGTGCGATAGGTGTGGAAATTATTTGTGCCAGATTTCACCTTAAGCCTTGTTTGAGTGTTCAGTATGCCCATTCTTGTAGGTGGAGATGTGGAATCTGTGAGTGGAAAGAAGCCTCCAAGCAAGAGGAAGCACCTGTACAAAACGATAGAGCAGAATCTGAATAACATTAATGTCTCTGACACAGATCGTAGATGTGAGGTAAGTTTACCTATCTGAAAGATTTGTATTTTTTCCCCACACTTCCCGAAGCACTTGCTTATTTATAGTAAACCTGAAGACTGATTAAAGAGGTTAAGGATGAAATTTGGGTATGAGTGTGTGTGTGTGTGTGTATTGTCCTGACAGGGACCAAACATGTTCATCTGGTGAAAGGAATATTGCTTCACTGTCAAGCTTGGCAAACCTTCAGGGTGCAGTCAGTTCTTGATAAGAGGATCAAATGACATGTTCCTGACCACGTTCAGAGCAAGACTTCTGGCCCAGGTTTCTGTGTATTAAGATACTTATGCCTTGCTTTTCTTAGCATTCAAAGCATTGTTGAACTGTGACACCAAAAAACTTTTTTGGGTTTTTTTTGGTTTTTTGTTTTTTGCATTCTCCTACAAATAATAGGGCTGCATGCTTTAATCAGTTTAATTCCTAGTTGAGTTGATTAATGGCGGTCAATGGTGAGACTGCTCTTAATCTCTGGATTCTACTGATCCAGCCAACTACTCCCCAGTGTTGAATCTTCTGTCCCTGGGAAAGGTAGTTGAGAGAGTGGCAGCGAAACAGCTCCAACCTCCAGGCCTTCCTAAATGACTCCTTTATCCTGGATCCATTCATGTCTAGCTTCCGCCCTGGCTATGGGATGGAGACGGCACTGGTTGTCCTCATGGATGACCTCCAGAGACACCTGGACTGAGGCGGGTCAGCTTTGCTGTTATTACCTGATCTGACAGCAGTGTTTGATACCGTCTGTTATGATCTTATGACCCACTACCTTGCAGTGCCTTGGCTTGTTTCTCCACAGTTGGGGTGGCACTTGGGGAGAGGGTTTAACCGTGTGACTCTTTGGTTATGTGGCATCCCTCAGGGGTGATCCTTTCCCCTATATAATTTAACATCTATATGTGCCCCCTTGCCCAGTTGGTTTGGGAGTTTGGGCTGGGCTGTCACCAGTATACTGATGACACCCAGCTGTATCTGTTGCTGGCTGGCTGGTTGAAGCAGAGTCGACTGAAACTAAATCCATCAAAGACGGAGGTCCTGTACCTGAGGGGGGGGCTGGGAATCCAACTCCCAACCCCTGACAGAGCGCCATTAACACCAATGGCAACAGTGAGGAGTTTGGTTGCGATTTTGGATGCCTTGCTTTCAACCGAGGCCCAAATCATGAATGATGCCAGATCAGTATTTTACCATCTTTGGCAACTGGTTCCCTATCTCTTCCCTCGTGACTTAGCCACAGTGATCCATACAATGGTCACCTCCAGGCTGGACTACTTAAACTCGCTCTATGTAGGGCTGCCCTTGAGATTGATCTGGAAACTTCAGCTGGTCCAAAACACAGTGGTGCGTGTCCTTACTGGGACACCTTTAAGAGTCCACATACAACCAGTGCTTTGCCAACTGCATTGACTCCCAGTTGAATACTGGATCAAGTTAATGGCATTAACCTTTAAAGCCCTATGTGGTCTGGGACCAACTGATCTGCTGGACCATCTCTCCCATTATGTCCCTCGAAGAGTTTTATGCTCTATAGATCAACATCTGCTGGTGGCCCCTGACTCAGCATCTGCTTAGCCTCAGCCTGAGCCTTTTTGTTTGAGCAAAATAGTTGCAATATTGGCAGCAGGAGAAGAAGAGATGTTTTATGTCCCCCAATGGTGGCTGTAAAAAGGTCATATTCCTCTCTCTGTGGAATTTGCTTTCACTGTACTTGCTTAGGCTTTTACTTTGCCTTCTCCTGGCGGAGTATCAGAATGCATTGCACACTATTTCTGCACTAAATGTATTTATTTATTTGACTTATATCCCGCCCTCCTTGCAGAGCAGTCTCAGAGTGGCTTACAAACTGTATAAAAGCACTAAAACAAGAAGACTGATAAAATCACAGTACAATCCTAAATATAATAAATTATAGAGTGCTAGTACAACTAATATAACGATGGCTGATGTTTGCAGCAATCACAATATGCCGACAGCTGGTCTGGGTCATGTCAGGCTGTTGATGGTATAATACTATTGATTTTGATGTTACTGTTGGTGTTGGGGCCAGGGCCTCGCTCTAAGTGGTGTGGCTACCTAATCAAAAGCCTGGTGGAAGAGCTCCATCTTGCAGGCCCTGTGGAACTGTAAAAGGTCCCACAGGGCTCTGATGTTCTCCAGGAGCTTGTTCCACCAGTATGGAGCCGCTGCAGAAAAGGCCCTGGCCTTCGTTGCAGCCAGCCTGGCTTCCTTGGGGCTTGGAAGGGCCAAACGGTTTTGGGACCCCGATTGTAGTGCTCTCTGGGGAACATGTGGGGAAAGGTGGTCCCTTAGGTATGTAGGCCCCTGACCATATAGGGCTTTAAAGGTAAGAACCAGCACCTTGAACCGAATTCGGTATGTTGTAGGCAGCCAGTGCAGTGCTTTTAGTGCCGGCTGGATGTGCTCCCGCATTGGGAGGCCCAACAACAGCCTGGCCGCTGCATTCTACACTAACTGCAGCTTCCAGATATGGGACAAGGGCAGCCCCATGTAGAGAGCATTACAGTAATCCAGTCTCGAGGTGACCATTGCGTGGATCACTGTCGCCAGGTCATTGCGTTCGAGAAAGGGAACCAATTGCTTAATCAACTGAAGATGGTAAAAGGCTGACTTTGCAGTGGCTGCTACCTGGGCCTCCATTGTTAAGGAGGCATCTAGGAGCACTCCCAAGCTCCTAACCTCCGGTGCCGGCACCAGTGGCGCCCCATCAAAGGTTGGAAGTAGGATCCCTACCCCCGGACAGCTCCGACTCGAGTACAGAACCTCCGTCTTCGTCGGATTCAATTTCAATTGACTCAGTCCAAGCCAACCAGCCACGGCTTTCAACGCCAGGTCCAGATCTTCCGGGCTAAAGTCGGACCGCCCGCCCAACAGCTGATAGAGCTGGGTGTCATCTACATATTGGTGACAACCCAGCCCATGCCTCCGGGCAATCTGGGCAAGGGGGCGCATGTAGATGTTAAACAACATCAGGTAGAGCACCGCCAACAGATCCAACAACACCACCAAACCGCCCCAATCCAGATGCCTCCGAAGGTCGTCCGTGAGGGCGACCAGTACCGTCTCCGTCTCATGGCCTGGTCGGAAGCCAGACTAGAAGGGGTCTAATGCGGAGGTGTCATCCAAGAAACTCTGCAGCTGAATCGCCACCACTGAATCACAAACAGTGATTTTGAAGTTTATTTTAATTTGATGTTAAATCTGAGAAATTCTTCTTGGTTTTATGCTCAGGTCGATCCAATGTTCCAGAAGACTGCAACCTCTTTCGATGAGTGCAGTACAGCTGGCGTTTTCCTTACCACACTCCACACACACAGCTATCTCAGTGAAATCCTGTTTGATTCTATGGTCACACCCCTGCCTTCTTCTGAAACTTCTGAGTTACCAAGTTCCTCTTGTGTGAAAATGGCAGACTTAAAAGGTAGGGGCCAGCAGCTGCTGGCTCCCCTATGTTTCCTTCTTCTACTACTTGTTAATGTTTCTGTGTTTTTTCCTAATTACATTTGTATTCCAATCCCAGTGTGGCTCAACAAGAATCAGACTCTAACATGGATAATAAAGATGTTTAATACAAAATGTTCCTTGGCAAAAGGAGTCTCAGTAGCTGCATCTAGGCCTTTTTTGCTCTCGAATAGGTTGTATAACTGGGAGGGAGTGAGCCAAATTCTCTACTGTGGAGAGGAAAGGAATGGTGACAAGGGGGATAGCCTGGTGCTTCCTATTTCCCCCGTCCACATATACTTTTTCTCCCTTACAGTAGATATAAGTGGTTGAGAAGAACTTCAACTAACCAGTGTTTCACTTTTACTTAAGGGTGAGAAGTGGGGGACGGGGAGGTCATATGCAGGCTTCAAAAAGGTCAGGATAGTCAAAGAAAACAGTTATTCCTTATCCTCTGCAGATGGCTGAGAAAGAGCAGTTCTTGGTGAAGGTGAAGGCATCTGGGTCTGTCAGGAGAAGAGAGTAGAAGCTGAAGGAAGGATTGGAGAGGCAGGACACCAATCCCCCAGTTAAACATACCCAGACCTGGGAGCCCAAAGGGATTAAGCCAGCCCGCCCGCCCCCGGGACTTTATCTCTATTGACAGCACTTCTTTTGAACAGCATAGTAACATGGGAGTTCTGAATGGCTGCTAACTTCAAACTTCTTGGTGATCCTTTTGTAGCAGTCCTTCTGCAGTGTGTTGAAAAGCGCACAATTTGCCCTTCTCTGGCTGGCTTCCTATTTTCTGAGTGGGACAGCGAGACCCATAATGAGGTATGTCGAAACTGGCTGTTGCTCTGCACTAAATGAGATGAGTGAATGCACCCCAGAACTCCTTTTTTTCATATCATAGTGTACCTTCCTTGGGTTCCAGTTTCTTACCATAACTTTTTGTAGCTAAACATTTTCTGAAGCTCAGGATGGAGGCGGTTTCACACAGGTGTGTATCCAGACATTTGTGCACAGAGCACTGATTCCTTGCCCCTCCCCATTACTCCTCTCCATTGCCTACAACCACTTACGACCCCTGAAAAAGTCACAGGATCCACAGAAAGGAATAGCTATGTGAGTTGGGGTGCTGTAGGAAGGAGAGGGAAGGGGGTAAAATGTCTTTGATAAACACAGCTTTGCTGACAGAAAAGAGAGAAGTGGGCAATTTCACCCTCTTTTCTTTAATGCAGTACATGACCCTACACAGCTATTCCTCCGTGTGAGTCCCTTAACCCCTTTTGTATTTTGGGAGGGGCTGCTGGAACAGGAAGGAATGTATGAAAAGTCCATGCAATTTCTGTGCATGCTTGATTTGATTCTTGCCATGTTTCTTAAGTATGTGTGACACAAGCCAAACTCTTTTATTCCTGATTTCACAGATCTACAGTCAGATTTTATGTATATCTTATGGGCGGCTTTCTGTCTTTCACAAAAATCTTTCCTTTTGACTCCCCTGCCTCTTTTCTCTTCAGTCAGTTTCAGCTCTGTTGGAAAAATTTAAGAGGAGTGACCAGGTGTTTGATATCAATGCAGAGGTTGATAGTGACTCTGTGGACAATGCTGAGGGCCCAGCAGATGATGACTTTGATGCAGATCTACTAGACAGGACAGTTGCGAAGGATCTTGGGGAGTTCTCGGAAAAAATGGAAGCATGTAGGGTAACACCAGGATCCTCAAGGTATGTTCAGGGCTGAACCGTTGTGTGCGTTGATCTCGTAGGAAACTTATACAGGGTTCTTCATTCTCTGCAGTGGGAGAGTGCAAGGAATAATATGGTGGGTAATCCAGATGTGCCACTGCCTTAAAGAATGTGTGAGATACAAATGTAATAAATTGTGGGAAGAAATGTGGTTGAGCTTGTCAAACTTTCTCTGGGCTGTAGTATATAAGTGTGACTATGTGCTTTTTCCAGAAGAGATGTGCTTTCCCTGGAGGAAGGAGACATTGGGTCCATGTGCCTTCACTTGTCCATGAATCCCAGCGAGTACTCTTATTTCAGCCCCCGAACCATGTTAATGTGGGCAGGCCCAGAACACTGGCGTTTCAAGCCTCGCCACAAAGGTATGGAAAGATCATGGGCTCAAATATCTGCTTGTCTGTAGAAAAGCAGGCAATCGTATGGTAGAGTTTATGGTTTTCATCCCAGCAAGTCTTCATGAGCCAGGAAAGAAATGATTTAGGTTTCTCTAAATGGAAACTTAAAGCTTTAAAGAATTAGTTCTTGGAGATCATCTTCATACAGAAGCGTGGTAGATCAGCGGCAGGGGCCATTTCCATACTGGTTATTTGTCCTGGGTTCAGTGGGCTTTTCCCCTGTTTCCCACCAGCGTTGTGGTACATTTCTGTACTTCTCAGGGTTTCCTTCACTTTTGTGCAATGTGTCCCAAATCTACTTTTCTGCAAAGTTTTGGGGAACATTGCAGCGAAGTGGGCTACTACTTGGGTGGGAGTGTTTGGATTTTTCCAGTCCTGTGTCCATGGCAGCCATTTTTGCTATCCTTACAGCAGCCATTTCCTCTCCCTGCCACCTAGGGTGGCTTTTTCAGTTGGCATTTAAATAGCATTATAATGTTATAACAATATGCATATCAAGCTTTCTGGATTCCCTTTTTTTCTTAAGGAAGTCTGTAGCCCCTTTTGTGGCAGAGATATAAGAGGGAAAAGGATATATCCACAATGAAACGGGATAGAGCCTGATACATAGATTGTTATATCATTGTAACAATATTCAACTGCTACATTAAAAAAAATGCTGGAAAAGCCCTGGTGACACAGGAGATGGGGAATAGCTGCTGCTGGGGGACTGGAGTAGGAAAACTGTGGGAAAATCTGCAATGTGGAAGCCTTGTTGTCACTGTGCTGTCTCAGTGACAGCAACAGGGTGACAATACTAGCCTGTCTCCATCTGGAAAGAGGGGGCAGGGGTGTATCATTTTTATTTTAGGTATTTATACCCCGCATCTCTCCCCAAGGGGGCGCCAAAGCTATGTGTGATGTCATTTGGTGTAGTGCTTAAGGACTCTAATCTGGGGGAACCGGGTTTGATTCTTTGCTCCTCCACACGCAGCCGCTGGATGACCTTGGGCAAGCCACAGTTCTCTCTAAGCTGCTCTCCCAAGAGCAGTTCTCTCAGAGTTCTCTCAGGCCCACCTACCTCACAGGGTGTTTGTTGTGGGAAGAGGAACGGAAAGAGATTGTAAGCCTCTCTGAGACTCCTTGTGAAGGGCGGGATATAAGTCCAATCTCTTCTCCTCCTCCTCCTCCTGCTCCAGTTTATCTTTGCAATAAGAACCCCATGAGACAGTTAAGGCTGAGAGAGACTGACTGGCTCAAGGTTACTTAGCAAGCTTTCATTGGCAGAGTAAGCATTCGAACCCGGATCTCCCACAACCTAGACTGACACTCTACACAAGTGATAAAGAGAAAAACTTTTTCTTCTGAAGTCAGCCTGACAGCTCCAGATACACAACCGCAATAATAAACGTGGCATGTTAAGCTCTTTCAAAAGACATAAAATGTCAAACACACACTGAAATAACTACAGAGATCAGCACAGGTGAGAGGCTGGATTGGAGAGCTGTGAATAGCTCCTCCTAGTGGTGACTGTTAGTAAATGGCTGCTGAGAAGGGCCGGATTCAGACAGGCTGTTGGGGAGAAATAAGACAGAAGTCCGGTGGCCCCTTAAAGGCTAACAACCTTTATTCCCACATGAGTTTTTGAGCTCATTTCTTTAGAGGCAATAGCAATCATACTAACTTGTATTTTTAAAGTGTGCATTTTATAAAACTATAAAATCCACACGATGAGTCGAAAGCAGCAGAAAAACAAAAGCAGCATAACTTAATAAAATAAGGGAGCAGCATGTAGCAGGTGCAGGTGCATCTTCTCTCAGCTGTTCTATATTGTACCTTCCTTTTCACCCTTTGTAGGTGATGCTAACTGTGAGAAGGTAAACAAAAGGAAGACTGCAAAAAAAGTCTTGGAAATAAATTTTGATGAGGAAATTGAGTTTGAGCTTCATTTCCGTGAGACAAGGGTAGGTGTTCAGAGCCCTCTGTGGCCTGCTCCCCTGCCCATGACCTCTACTCCTCCAGTCCAGCCAGCCACCGCCATCTGACGATCTTTTGCCTTCTTGAATGGCTGCATGCTTTCTCCCTTCCCAACCCTTAGGACCAGAACTGCTTCCCAGAACACTTGTGTGATTATACCTCTTCTGCTTGTCACACTGGCTCCTGTGCAGAATTTTAAAAAGTGTGGTACAAAGATGGAAGTGCTTGATTTCTTCTGTTGGCATTTGATATTCCCAAACAGGCAGCTACAACTCTAGCCCCAGCGACGCTTGAAAGTAAGAACAAGAAATGCAACACCCTCCCCAAAGACTTCCATTATGATCCCAACAATCTTACCCGCCTCTTCCTCAAACCAGCCAATAGGGTAAGCTTTGCCTACTGGGGTTGACTCCCACCTTGGTTTGTTGTTTTTCTACTATTTTTCCGCTTGATTTGGCCAAACTGAGCCTATGCTTGCCGGGAGAATTGCTGAGAGAGACTCTATTGTGAACTGACATATCCAAGTCTACATTACTTTGATGGTTCTTCTGTCATGTCCTAATGAATCCTTTTTTCTTTTTTTCCCCTTTATTTTGGCAGCTTTGGAAAACACCACTAAAGGCCAACTCACCAAGTCATGATGATGAGGTTGGAGAGTATGATTACAACAATCCCAATGATATCTCTAATTTCTGTCCTGCATTGCAGGTGAGGTTGCAAAGACTGGAGGTGCTCCCTACTGTGAATTTCTTCACCGTACTAATCTTAGCAAAACTTTGACAGCCTTCATACTGGGTAATAGAACCTGGGTGGGTCATGGCGGAACATGTATCAGCTAGCTACTGAGGGAGCCAGTCTGGGCTGCCAGCACTAACACCGCCCGCTAGCTTCATCAAGAAATAGTCCCACAGGGGCAAATCTGTTTAGTAATAGTCTTTCTTCAGGGTGTGGAAGAGTTCCTACAAATGAGGAGAATGTGTCATCTCTGTAGCTTGTTTTATTCTTGTAACTGGATCCTCGATTCTTTTAAGCGTGGATGATATTTGTGTGCATCTACAAGAGTTCTTAAAAATCCATTCCAGAGACATAAAATATTATGCCCAAACTGATAAAGATAGTAATGAACCAGGAGCCTCTTGTTCTCATGTTTTTATATATCCCATTTCCATACTGTACCTGCTATGCTAGCTGTGGGGGTGAGGTGGTGTAGGCAGTGCTTAACGGGCCAGAGGAAGATTCACGGGATCTTAAAGAACCATTGTAAACGCAGGATGAAGGTATCTAAAGATTTTTGGGAGCTTCTCTGGAGTGCAGTGGTCTTCAAATGTGCCAGATAAATTTAATATCTGTTTGCCTTGGTCTCTAAGTTCCTTTCGTGCCCCAGTTCAGTGCATGCTTCTTTGTGCAAGAATCTCTGCCTGAGAGCCAGTTTGGTGTAGTGGTTAAGTGCGCGGACTCTAATCTGGGAGAACCGGGTTTGATTCCCCACTCCTCCACGTGCACCTGCTGATGTGACCTTGGGTCAGTCACAAGCTCTGGCACAGCTGTCCTTGAAAAAGAGCAGTTTGTGTCAGAGTTCTCTCAGCCCCACCCACCTCACAGGGTGTCTGTTGTGGGGAGGGGAAGGGAAAGGAGTTTGTAAGCCACTCTGAGACTCCAAGTGAAGGGCGGGGTATAAATCCAATCTCTTCTTCTCTTCTGATTACTCACGAAAATGATGGCTGGTGTAGAATAGGCATTCCTTGAGAGTGCAGTTACATTGCTTTCTGTAGATGATCTCTAAAAATGAGAGCTCCAGTGAGTTGGATTCTGACAAAGCTGGCCATTTAATGGGTACTCACAAGAACTACCTTGGTCGTCGTCTTCTTCCTCCTGTTCTTAGACCAAGTCTTGAAAAATTAAAACTTTGAGGTTTTATTTAAGAGTTGTTGGGTTTTTTTGCTATCTTAAAAAAAAAAAAAACTCCCTTTGATATTTCTCTGCAGCCTCTAGAAATCTAGCAACATTAAAATCTGAGTCCTTTAAGAGGTATTCAGGTTTTTACTCTGCTGTCACCAGAGGCAGCATAGTCCCTTTGTCAAAACATGGCATGATCCATTTTAGCCTAAGCTGGAGTAAAAAGGTAAAGGTTCCCTTGCTTGAAAGCCAGTCGAATCCGATTCTAGGGTTGCGGTGCTCATCTCCGTTTCAAAGCCAAAGAGCCAGCGCTGTCCGAAGACGTTTCCGTGGTCATGTGGCCGGCGTGACTAAACACCAAGGCGTACGGAACGCTGTTACCTTCCCACCAAAGTGGTACCTATTTATCTACTTGCAATTTCTTGCTTTCGAACTGCTAGGTTGGCAGGAGCTGGAGTACATAAGGACATTTGATTGAATAATCAAATTGTAAATACTTGAATTGTCCTCTCTCTGTTGAAGACCATGTTCTTCAGTTCTCCAAGTTGAATTCAGCCTTATAGTTTGCCATCTTTGTTTCTTTCTGTTCAGGATGCTGACAGTGATGACGGTGATTATCCCAATGAGTTCATGGGCCAGGGTGGGATGTTTGAAATGACCGCTCATCCTACTGGAGGAGCTGACCAGGACATAGAGCTCAATGGTGGGCTCAATATCACCACCTATGGTGAATCAAACCTTGTGGCTGAGCCACAGAAGGTGAGTACTGATGTGGAATGGGCCCATGCAGTCTACAGTCCACACTGTAAGCTGGTGCTGAATACTTTGCACCACAAGCATTCAAGTTGGCACTAGAACCAAGGAGTTAAAGTATAAACAGTCTGAAACAAAACTCCCAGCTTTAACCCCATGCTTTGCCATGGTTACTCTGGATAGGCCCACCAAGCACAGAAAATGACTGCATATTTAAATGGGTCTAATTTGATTCAAGTTTTTTTCCTTCTTGGAGTATGGTGGTTGTTTTTCAGGCGCTCCAGTTTCTACAGTGACTAAGCCAACAGGCATTTGTACTCAGTTGCTGGTGAATTCTTAAACCAAAAGGAGGGCTTGGTTATGGAGGTGAATCCAAAACCAAGCTCTCATTTTTGATTGTATGCTTGGATTCTTCTTTCCTTAAAAGAAGGATCTTATGCTGTGGACTGTTTTGAGTGAGTGGCAGACAGTAGACTTGTGAAGGAAGAGACATGTGGCTGGATGACATGAAGGGCATCTTTGAATGTTTGTCTTAATTTTTTGTGTTTGAGAGTCAGATTGGAGAGTGTGCTGTTCCTATAATGCTATTGCTGCATGCCTCCATTCTTTCAGGTCAACAAGATAGCTATCCAGTATGCAAAGACTGCCAAAAAGATGGACATGAAGAGGTTAAAACAGGCCATGTGGTGCCTCCTAACTGATGCCGAGAAGAATCAAACTGAGGAAGAGGTATGAGCCAACAGAAAGCCTGCCCCAAACATTCCCTTTGCTTTGCCTTAGGCTGTTCCAATACTATCCTTGGCCTCAGCTGGCTTCATGGATTGCTAGTTGTCATCTGCAGCCTTCTAGTTTTTTCCTAGGCTTCTGTTCATTTTACTTAAAATACTAACATACCACCTCTTAACCAAAGTGCTCAAGGAAGTCAACAGTGTGGTGATTCAGTGGTGTTAGAAAGGTGCTGTTCAGAGCTCCTGTATTCTGGGCTGTGTGTTTTTATTAAAAGCCAAATTTCTGCTCCAAGAAAAAGCTGAATCCTGGAACCTGTATGAAGAGTGCAGATTAGGAAACTGCTTTGCATAATCTATTCTGTTGGTCATGATGAGGGGACAATAAGGTATGCATAGGAACCTTATTGATCTCTCCTCACCTGGCTCTAAAGATTTCACTAGGCAGTACTGACATGCTATCGAGCATCTCTTTGCAACCTGCTTTAAAAAAAGCAAGCAAACTGAGCTTCTGACCTGAAATCTGCACCCACAGAATTGCTCCCTATAACTGTGTCTGGTGCTTGCTGCATATTGGAATGCAATGAGGTATAATGATCTCTTACATAGTGGGGTGGCGTACATAATGCATGTCTATGTTGTAGTGAACACTGATCAGCCTTAAGAACTACTAGGTGATCCTTCATCAGATGCTGTATAACTCTTTTCAGGGTTGAGCTGAACATTCAAGGCAGAATAGTACTCAGTTCAGTGGCCTCCACAGCAGACAAAGAATATCACCTTCAGTTGTTCCAAATTAGAAGTCTTGAAACTCCATGCCTCAGGTTTACATGATTGTCATGTTGAAGACAAAATGGGGTATAAGTCTGGAAGAGTTTCTGTATTCCTCCAAGATGAATTCACAGAACATACTTAATCTAGTATTTAAAAGGCATTCGTTCATCTTAAAACAAAAGTCCAGTGGCACCTCAAAGACTAACAACATTTATTTCAATGTGAGCTTTTGTGACAGTATCTGAGGACATGAGCTGTAGATCGCAAAAGCTCACACTGAAATAAGTGTTGTTAGTCTTTGAGGTGCCACTGGACTTTTGCTTTATTTTGCTATAACATACTTACCTTGCTACACCTTTCATCTTAGCCTGGCAAACATTTTTGATTAATACCAGTAGTACTCCTACTTGGTGCATTTATTCTCAGCTGTCCAAAAGCACCAGCTGTTGCATAGAAATACCAGTTTATTGTTTTTGCATCTTAGGAGGCACACACCCAGGCCTTAGGTGCACTGAATCTGTGTTATCTGATTACTAGTTGACTTCATTTGACTTTTGCTTGAGCAGCAAGTCGCCTTGGAGAAAAGCGCTGATTTCTCGGTGGTGATGGGTAAGAAGGTCTTCAGCAGCATTACCAAGGATCTGCTTCACAGGTATTTGTGGCATGCTAGTTGCATAGTTATTCTGGGGGGGGGGCAGACTTGCTCCTGTCCTACGTAACAGTCTTCCACTGTGCACAAATCAGTGGCCATATGGAGCTGGCTGCTGGTGGTGGGAGGGATCTATTTGTTTCCTCTATGTGCTGGCTGTTCCCTCAGTCTCAGATTGGAGAATGCATTTCCCCCCCAGTCATCAAATCCACCCCCCAATTATCAACCCTCTCTGCTAAAACTGTTGGCACAACCACTCAGTGAAGCCTTTCTTTCAGCTGAGCCTGCTGAAAGACTTCAACTGGGTCCTTGAAGGTGGAGTGCTGGCTGTAGAACTTGAAATCTCAAGCCCTAACCTAAATTTTTAGTGTAGATGGAGGATGAACTCAAGCCTGGTGGCCTGGGGGGTGACAGTATTCTCATTCTAGCCCAAATAACCACCTGCAGATGACTCTTATTGATGACTGGATCAAGGTACTGTGGTTCATTATTGCTCTGATTTGGCTTTGTACCAGCATGCCAGTAGTGTAAAGTAACCTAAGTCTAGAAATAAAGCCCTTTTTTAAAAGAAACAAATAAAAGTGGTTTGAGTGACAGTTGCTTTGCATGGGGCGTGTACATTTATTTACAATTTTTATATTCTGTCTTTCCACTCTTACAAAGGCTACCAAGGTGGCCAACGATAAAATACATTATAAAACCATTAAAATAAACCCCTCTCCCAAGCTTACCTATTTAAAAAGAGTTTAAAAAACAGGGCTAAAATACATAAACAATGCTCCCTCCAAGCTGTGAGGTCTTGTGAGCAAAAATTCTATGTTGTGAGCTACTGGCATCAAAGTTCTGAGCGAGCGATTTGGCTGCTGCATAAATTAGTTTGCTCTGGAGCCCTCCTTCCCGAGCTAAGACAAAAACGTGTGAGCCGGAGGCTAAAAAACGGAGCTAGCTCACACTAACTCAGCTTAGAGGGAACACTGCATATGGAACAGTTAAAATGTATACAGAACATTGGTTAGGAAGGAGAGATCATTGAGGGAATGCCAACCAGAACAAAAAAGTCTTCACCCGCTGGCAGAAGATGGCAATAGAAAGGGTCAGATGACTCTCCCTGGGCAGAGAGTTCCAGAGTTCTGGTGCCGTGACCAAGAAGGCCCTCTCCCAGGTTGCCTCTTGCCTAATCCCAGAAGGTGCAGCAGGGCCTCCGAGGATGACCGTAATGGTTGGGCAGGTTCATAAGGGTTTAGGATTTCTCTTGCCCCACTGATATCTGGGATCAAACAGGTTTTTGAACAATGCAAAAACCTGTTAAATCAGTTCAAAAGAGCCAAAGCTAGAAAAATGAGCAAGTATAACATGAACAGCAACCCTCCATCATTTTACCTTCAGCTCTGGAAAAGCTACTGTCTGTCTTAATCCTGCTCTGTTTTTCTGTGTCTTTTCAGGGTGCCTACTGTTATGGCAAAAAACCTTTCTATACCATTGGCATTTGCTTGCCTCTTGCACTTGGCCAACGAAAAGGTATGTGTGAAGTTTAGGCCTCAGACCAGGGGATCTCCCATTTGCTCCAGCCGGGGTCGTCCTCCCTGATTCTTCCTTGGCCACTCCACTTTAAGCCTCTAATATATTAATACAAGTATTGGTCTCAAACAATCCATCTCCTACTGTTCCTCTCCCACAACCTGAACCCCTGCCCAGTCCCTCGTGCAGTGCGTCTGTCCCAGCATCTTTCAGGGTACAGGAGTCCGCATGGCAGACCCCCAGCACTTGCTAACTGTCGCCTTTGTCTCGTGGCTGCACCTGATTCTTGCCCGCCTGCATGCTCCAGGCCCCTGCATTCAGCATTGTGATGGTTGGGAGGAATGAACTGAGTCGCTATGTCCCTCTCAGACCACTGTTCCCTCCGTTGCTCTCTCTCCGGCACAGCCCCTTCCCGGCTACTTGCTGCTGTGGTCTCCTGCATGCTGCATCAACTTCTCTCAGGCTGCTGCTGGATGCTGTGCGCACGCTGTCAACAGCTGTGTCCTTTCCCCAGTTGCTCTCTGCAGTCTCTGCTGCTCTCAGTCTCCCAGCTGTTGGCTCCTCCCACACACTCTTGCTGGTGCTCATGCTGGGAGTCCTGGCTGCCACCGTCTCTGTCCAAGCCTTTCTCACTGTGTCATCCTTGCGTCTCCCCCCAACCCTCTCTTCAGGCCCTTTAAATTTCCCAGCTGGTCTCATTGGCCCAACCCTCCCAGCTGTGTTGGAATGTTATTTCCAGTCAGACCATGATTACTTCCGGTCAGACTGTTGGGAGCTCTCGCCCACTGCTCAGGTGCTGCAGGGCCAGGCCTCTGATGACGGTATATATGACATGTTCTAATACACAACAGGGGCAGGGTGCTCGTCTTTGCCTACATAAGCATCCAAGTGACTGAGCTGTTTATGTAATATCTCAGCTTTGGTAATCATTCAGGGATCTCTTCCCATAATTTAAATTACTGGCGATGACAGCTGTGAGACACAAAGAACAATGGTAAAGCTCTTGAAGTCAATGTAGCCATGTGGGTCCCTTAGGAACTGCAGCCGGGATGTTCTGCCTTAGCTAAGGTTGGATGTGGGGTCCATACTTACCAGAACCTGTGCACCAATCTGTACATGTTGCCGCATTCCCTTAATGGTCAAAGAGATGGTGATCTTGAATGGTCATATATATATTACTTGCTTATCAAACATAAGCAAGTAATTTCTGTATAAGCAGCTACCTAATGTATACCAAATAGACATAGCTTCCAATTTGGAGAGAATTGTGTGTGTGTGTTTAACTGTCAGCTCCCCTCCCAGGCTTAGATGTTATTAAGATATGGCAGAATACTAAAAGATGGATTTAAAAATGTTTTAAGTGGAATAATAGACACCTGTGGATCGTAGCAACATGATCAGGAATATGGTTTAGATACCATTGTTCTAAGAAATCTGTAAGTTACCAACTTTATTTGTAGTACTGAGTATAAAACTGTACATGAAGAGATGGATTTAAAGTACAATATGTGTTCTTATTTCTTGTCTCCAGAACCTGAAGCTGGAAGGGGTGGAAGATTTGTCTGAAGTCCTTGTGGCCCAAGGAGACTAACGTGCCACTTGGAAGAGGGTTTGTCTGCCCACAAAAGATGTATGGCCTGAACCATCCATAGCTGCTTTTCCACCTCCTGGAAATGCTAATGAGAACATCACACCATTTTCGGCAGCTCTGGGAGACATGTGAATACACAGTAGTTTGCAATCATGGGCAGTGGGTGAAAAGTGTGCCTATCCCAAGAGTTCCATCATGATTTTAACCCTCTTAAGTCTGCATCTTCTCCTCCTGACACTAGATGAGTTCTTCTATGCTGTGGCCCGTGAGCATTTTGAAATGTGTCAGTGTTACCCCCCACAGTCACGATAATTGCAAATGACTTGTAGGCGTATTTAGTTTGCTTTTTAACATATGCGTCCACTTGCTGTACACAGAAAGCTAACCTGTCTCCTTTTTATACTCCTTATTCTTTTATTGTAATTGATTTTATATATTTATACAGATGCCTTTAAAAAAACAATAAACTACTCTGTGTTTCGTTTCTGTAAACCCCTGATGGAAATGCTTGTGGCTTGTATGTGGCAGGTTCTTTTAATTGCTATACATTGGGGGTGTTGAGTTAGGTGAGGCATTTGATGAAGGGGATGGGACTGCTGAGATGTTTTTATGCATCTGGTAGCAAAACTGACCTGTAACTTACACCTTTATTTTGGTTCTCTCTTCATATGATTGTGTTAACTAGTGAATTACATAGGCTGCTTATAATGTACAGTAATTCCTGTGTAACTTTCCTGATTGGGCTAGCACCTGTACTCACTTGGCTCTCAATTTCTACTTGGTTTTAACTTCTGTTCTGATTTGTTTATCTAAATGTTCGCTTCCTTTTCTTTTTCTCAACGACTATTATCTAATCATGCTTTACTGCCCTTTTTCCTAATTGTTCTGTCATCCACAACCTTGATATACATGGGGGGAAATGGGGCTTGAGAGCAATGCCCCGTTTTGGCTGCATTCTAATGCCAGAATACAGTGTAAACATAGCATGAGAGTTCATGTGATCATCATTGTCTTAGGGTGAATTTCCACATGCCTTTAATGATCTCATTTCTGTGGTTTGCCAAAACTGCTTTGTATTTAACTTGCCAGTGTATAACCTTCATCTTGTAAGTCCTTGTGTGACTCATCTTGTTAGCTCTGCTTAAAACTGAAGACATGCTTGTCACCAGTGTTCCCTCTAAGCTGAGTTAGTGTCAGCTAGCTCACAGGTTTTTAGCCTCTGGCTCACAGATTTTTGTCTTAGCTCAGGAGGGATGGCTCCAGAGCAAACTAATTTATACAGTAGCCAAATTACTCGCTCACAACTTTAATGCCAGTAGCTCTCAAAGTAGAATTTTTGCTCACAAGACTCCACAGCTTAGAGGGAACATTGCTTGTCACTGGAGCCTTCTTTCCAGAATAGTTTGTGCTGAGTTACAGAGAGCTTACTCAAGTGATCATGCAAATTATGTTTTACTTAAAAATATAAGTATCACCGGGGAAGGGGATAATTTTTATTTATTTAGATATTTATATACCACTTTTCTCTCCATGGGAATGGGACCTAATGCAGCTTATAACATCATTCTCCTTTACATTTTATCCTCACGACAACCCTATGAGGTAGGTTATGCTGAGAGACAGAGGGACTGGCCCAACCACCCTGTGAACTTTTGTGACAGACATTCAACTATGGGTCTCCCTGCAAATAAAAAAAAAAAATAGCACGTCACAGAGAATAGTTCTAACCTAGCCCTTTGTCTGCTGTCCTAGTTCTCCCCTTATAGAGAATGATTACTATGAGAGCTGTGAACGATTTACTCCCTCAGTAGTTCAGTCCCTTTGACTATCAGCACTCTCCCAACTCCTTCTGTGGGTACAGACTAAACCCAAGTACTACAAAATGTAACTTGCCACCTATTTCACAAATAAGCTTGCATAATAGAAGTAGATATGCTTATACACCCTTTGTACTTAATTGTTCTGTGGATTGACTTTTCTTCCCAATCATCCCCTCATATTGTCTAGCCTGTACTGAATCAACGGGTAACAACAATGCCCAATCAGATTGTTGCAATAAAATAATAAAGCCGTTACAGTTGCACAAGATAACAGCAGTAATATACAACCAATCCGGCTGCTGTAACCCCTCTGTCAAAGGGACCTTGTTCTCTTCCCTCCCCTGCTGCAGGAGGATGGCAAGAGAGGGGAGGCCTGGGAACAAGGCCCCATTCATGGAGCAGTAGCAGCTGTTTGATCCTAATGGCATGGCTTTATTGTTTTGTTATAAACTGTCTTGAGGGGGGGGTTGGGGGGGGACATGCCTTGTTGCTAATTGCTTAGTGTGGGGGAGTTTAGGGAATAATAGGGAAAGTTGTCTTTCATGCCTTGCTTTGAATACCTGGTGGTTATCTACCTGGACCTGTTAGAAACGGGCTGACCTTTGAACTGATAGACAGTTTCAGTCAGTACTTTCTATGATGCATCCAACGATGGGCTTTGGCCACTCTTGTGACTGAAGCTACAACTTTGTAACAACCCCACACAGCAGCTGACCTTTAAATCGTAACTCAGGCCAAATCACAGAAATAAGAAACATACTGTGTGTATTTTATTTCATAATTCTCTGGAAAATAAAAAAAGTAAAAGCAAATGCAAATACAATATACATACTAGTTATAAATGTCCTCCCCACTGAAGTAAACAAAATTAAGACAGATGGTATATTGTGTTAATCATTGCCTGTGTCTCCAGAAACAGCCCTTGTGAGGGAATGAACAACATATTGTACCATTCGAGTAGAATGAGAAGTGTTACCAAAAACCCAACAGAAGATTGCCAAGGGTTTTCTGGTTCTGTACGTGTGCCTTTAACAGCAGCCCAACCTGTAACAAAGTTAGCAGGTAAACTCTTCTCCCATCACTACATCTCCATGCTTTGGGGGGGGATCACCCTACTTGATTCCTGTGTGTTAGGCTGCCCTTAAAGGCACAAGAATAAGGCAGGGGGACCAAAGACCTGACACCTTATAGCTGTTTTATCACTGCTGCCTGTTTACTGCCCCCCCCCCCCCCCCCCCCCCCCCCCAGCGTTTCTCCCAGTGTGATACATTAAATGCACTTCTTGCTTGTGTCCTTGTTTCCTGGAAGGCAGTGTGTGGCTAATTTCCTTTCAGCAAAGGATGAAAAATCATCTACCTCTCTCCTACTTTGAATTGCTTTATGATCTTTATGACTCACCTGCACTGCAGGCTCTGGGGGAATTTCCCATTCTGCAGCAAAGCTAGTAGGTATCTTTTGCCTTCACGGGAACCTAAAGGCTTTGTTCTGCTGCTGGAAACATTTTTCTTCCAGGTACCATATGATTTCTTTCCTTTGATAACTAGGGAATCTCCTTAGAACTTTATCACTTCTTCCATCTCCAGCATTAATTTTTGGTAAAACACACTCACAGACTTCATCTTTCTATTCTATTCTATGCACTTGGAGGGTAGTAATTCTTGAAGGCTACAGGTAACGTGAATAGAATCTGCTTGTCTAACACCTGCCCCAAAAGCCAAATGAATGGGCTTCTACTTTCTAAACTGATGGGAAAGTCCAACGGCCTTAGTTTATTTGCAAAGTGTACATCCTCTGAGGAAAATCTGTTCTTTAACAGAGTTGTCCATAGACCTGGAGAAAAATGTCCTGCCCCTTTAACAGAAATTTCCTGTAAATGTTATAACCTAGTAAATTCCTATTAAGCCTCTTTTTTCCAGGCAATTGGCAACTATGTCTTTAAGTGCAATGCATCATCATAGGTGTCATTTCAGTTTTTACTGGATATTTTCAACAGCAGTTAAAGTGAACCAGTTGTTCTGTTTATTTTAAAATGGATTGTAGAAGTAGTCATTCTAAAACTCATCTGCGATGTTCTGTTTTTCAAATGTAAAGGGTTTTTTGAGCAAGCTTTCCACACTCCTTCCTCTCACCTTGGCTGCTAATTTTGTAACACTCTGCCATGAGGAGGTCTCCTAGCATCAAACCCATTCTCCCCACTTTATTCAGTCAGCTTTTGCATTTTTTGTTGTTCCCATCAAGATGGAAATATTGCAGGCACATAGGTAAGGTTAAGCTTTTGTCAGGGAGGGGGCTGGCTGTCCTTTATACCTCCCAGCCAGTTTGCAGGGATTCTTTTCTCAGCCCAAGCAGAGACACGAAGTATCTTCTCGACTTTCTGCCGACACAAAGGGCAGCAGCTGCTGCTGTAGAGAATTCTTGTGGAGCAGCAGAAGCAAAAGTTCGCATGGCAACAAGGAAGCATCACTGTGTTGGCCTTACGGTAGAGGCAGACTGCGCATTCTTTGCCAATGCTATTTTCTTCATAGAAATTCCTACATACAGATGCTATAAAAAACAGAAACATCTCATTACAAGGTGGAGAACAAGAAATGCAGAAGAACATGTTTCTTCAGCTACATCTAAGAATGGCAAGAAGTTCCAGGAGGCAACATCTGCAGACTCTGTTTCCTTGTGCTGAGAATGCAAGCCGGAGACTGATGCTGTTGTTGATACTGGTTTGTGAACCTGCAGGCATAATATAGTGGAAGCAAGCAAGGCTGCACCACTACTAGTTCTGTTTCATATCTGCAGAGCAACAGTTGTGTGCGCACAGACACCGCTTCCCAATGGCTGCATCCCAGTTATCAGCGAATGCCAAGTAAACTCTGAGCCAGTCTCTTCTCTCATACTCAAATGGCTTTGCTGCCCCTTCCGTGAGCTGGAGGATGTGACAGACTAAAAACTGCAGATAGACTTACAGCCCCTGAAACCTCATTATGACAGGCTATGTGGGTGGAGGCCAAGTTTTTATGTTGCAAGAGCTCTCATAGGCTATAATGTGCACTGCACATAAACAATGCACCCCTATTCCTGCCAGGGAGGGCTGAACTTACCTGATGTCAGGAGTGGATGGCATGTTTTGCTATTACTGGAACAGTTTCTGAGTACAGCACTTCGCTGTTCCCCGCAGAAAAGGTCAGCAGTTCACTTAGATGGGGGTAGGATAGTTGTGTGCTCTGGGATACTGTTGAGTAGTGGCCTAAATGTGCTTCTTAAGCAGGGCCCTTTCCAGATACTCACCATTCTGTCCAGATGCATTCAATAGTTTTTCGCTTGACTCATTCATGTGTATCTTTGGTCTTGATGGATCTGCAGAGGAAGAAAGGAGGTTCAGATACCACCTCAGCTAAATAAGCCTTTCCCCGAATTGAACTGGTCAAAAGCTCCTAGTCGAACAGGACTTTTTCAAGCATTGTGAAGCAGCAAATCCAACATCCCTCCCAAATACATTTAACAAGGAGATGCAGCCAATTCACGCTCTGTGACTAATGTACCTACAAGCTCTCATGTTTGCAGTCCTGCACTTGTGTATGTGTGCTTTAGATGTTAAGAGATGCTTCCAAAAATGTGATTAAAAAAATAAATTTTATTTTTTCATCTGAAAAATGTAATGTATGAATTTTCCTTATACGCAGATGTCTGCCTCCAGTATGGGGGTCTAGCTGGAATAATCATAAGCCATGCTGATGAACATGGGTGTGACAAGCTCAGGGAACAACTCAGCCAGAGAAGGTTGGCTTCCCATGCTTTGGGGGGGGGGGAGGCCATCTAAACAACAGAACCAGGACTCTCATCCTAAACCAGCAAACTGGCCAATGCATTAGCAGCTTACCTACAAGCTGGACAGCTTTAGTTCTTCCATAGATGTCCATAACTGCCCAGAGAGGCTTTTTGACTGGGACGTCTTCAAGCAGTAAGTAGTAGTCAAACTCATGGTTGACACTGAAGAAAACACAGCCTTTTCTGTTCACCCAGAAGCTGACAATAGTGCCCTCACCTACATAGTCATCCGGTAAGACAGAAGCCCAGCACGCCCCCTGTTTGACCAGATTGGGGCAAGCATATGGAGGCAGATCCCTGGAGTTCATCAAGGAGGGATGCTCTGAGGTGAAGCCCAACCTTAAGCCACCAAACCACCTGCCATCTTCCTTTAGGATTTCCAGTGTCACCTTCTCATTAACTTTAATTGGCCGGTTGGAGAAGACAAGTCCATCACGGAAGGTGGCTGCTCTGGTGGCTATGTACTGTGATGCATCTAGAATGATCTGGGATCCTTTGGTATCCGGATGGAAGGCAAGTGGAACGTATGGAACCTGGGTGTAGTCACCTTCAGGAGACAAAAGGATAATCTAAATGAGAGGGTAGGACACAGCATGCATTCTCTGCTTTGCAGTTCTTCCATGGGAGACTTCACTCAGCAATACAGAGGTGTTTTTCATCCATGTAACCACAGAAGCCATATTGGGGTGAGGCTCTTTAATGAAAACCTGAGACTTTCAAGAGAATGAATTCTGCCCAGTGGAATTTATGGCATACATGGAGTACTGTCTTGCCTAGGTGTCTTTGTGCACATGTCGGTGTGTATGTATATTTTTAGTCCGCACTTAATACAGAACCCTATAAAACATGAGTGTATCACTACATGTAGCACTTAAAACGTCCCCCATTCTAAGGCTTCAAATGGAAACTAGCCTGTTTCCTTTGCCTGTGTCACACACCCTTGATAAACACATCCTCAATTATAAGAACACAAAAATGAAACTGACCAGTTCAGGGGAATCAACAATTACACAATGGCTAAATAACCAGTTTCTCTTTCTAATTTAATTGGCTTTGGAAACTGATAAGCTGCTAGCTGAATAGGAATCAATAGAGATGCTGTAAACTGCTTTGGATCAACATGAGGGACAAAGGTAGGGTACAAAACCAGAGTATGGCTGTTAATATGTTACAGCATATCAGATGATGACAGGTGATTTCCTGTTCAAGCAGAGAGGATTCCATCATAGGTAACGGTAAGTGGCTACTTCATTACCTATCCACCTTCCCTTTAAAAGGTTTGGTGGTGGGGCTGGGAGAAATCTGCTGCCTGAGACCTTGCAGAGTCATTGAGAGGGACAGAGCTACAAAGGGCCTGGCCCCTTTTGGGGTAATCCAGGCCCTTTCCCTGAATTTTCAGCTTTCATTTAATAATATGTAAGTCTCTAGTGCTTTTTCTTACAGAAACAAAAGTGAGAACATGCAGGCAGGACCCAGCTATGTACTGAAAAGTCAAGCGGCTTCTGCCTACTCGTATCCTGGCTAAAGAGTGCAAATGCACTGAGACAAATTGGGAAGCACTAGCCACATACTGTTAATTTGTTTTAAACATCTAACACAAGTACACTTATTAGACTGCCTATACTTCAGTTCTGGCTATTCTGCCCTGAGTCTCAGTCTCTCTCCTGTATACATCCCAGGTATCCTTAGGGCTAGCTAAAGGTCTGCAATACTGGGCTACATTCACTGGTGGTCTGATTAAGACTGAAACCACACATGCATCGTAAAGCTCAAGAACAAAGAAGAGTGATTGTTAACTGTGAGGCAATATTTTCGGGGATGCTCATGAAGCAGTGTGTGGTTAAAAAGTTGGGACTTGCAATACTGCAGAGGCAGCTATGTATGGGAGGACTCCAGCTGTGCCTGCTCCAGGGAAATCAGCATTCTCTGGCCATTGCAAAAGATCAGGTGATGTTGCACCTCTCTGACTGACTACCATCTGGAGCAGCAGAACAACTTCTGTCACCGCTAGACAGGGGCACTGATTTTCAGGTGGCCAATATTTGGTGGGATTCATCAACACTACCAGGCACTTCAACTCAGTTTATAATCCTAAATAGATAAGGGGAAATGAATAAGTATGGGAAAAGAGCAGAGGAGGTAAATCTTGCCTGGGACTGTCAACATCCGCAGTGATGCAATCAGCAACTGTGTGGGGCTTTAACGATTTTGGAAGGAGATCAGAAACCATATCAGACTTGAAGCAAAACAATCCATTTGACCGTAGCACCAGCCAGTGTTTGATTTGCAGGGGATCGCAGGTGGCTGGATGAGATGCATGCCTTACTCACCTTCATTTTTCTTTCAACAAAAGATGTACAGAAAAGGGAAATTATTCTTTCTAGATGTTGTGGACAACATGAACAGGTGGGAGGATGGGAGTCTGCACATATGGTCTACAGGTACATTCCAATGAAAGGGTGCAGGTCAGGAGCAGCAACTGCTGCCACAATCCTCCCTCCTTCCTTTCCCACACATATTTATTCTACCACCCCTGAACATC